AATGACAAACATAGGACAGGATTCTTTTTTTTTTTTAACTGTTTCCCATTATAATCAAGCAAAATTTTTAAAATTATTACTTTATTTAATTTCTTTTTTAATGAATGAACGAATGAATTTATTTATTTTTACATTTTTCCACATTTACTTTACATATAAAAAAAATTATTTTTGGAGAGGTTTTTGCTATAGGGCACGTGAGCTCACCAGAAAGACAAAGAGAGACAGAGAGACAGAGAGACAGAAAGCAAGAAATCACCCCCCCAGGGGGAAGGCCACGCTGCAATCCCTTCTCCTCCATTCTCCTCTCAGGATCTTAGGCACACACGCACACGCGCCCAGCGTGAATTTAACCGCAGTCAACTACATGGGAGTCCAGAGACATAGCCATTACGCCAACTGCTGGTCCCAGCATACTTTTATTAAGTACATCAAAGTAGATAAAAATATTTATATGCAAGTACTGAAGTAGGCTTATATTAATAAGATATTTTTCTGTGGGGAAAAAAGACTGACATTAGTAAAACTAAATTGGAAACCAGAACCTTTGTGTCAATCTGTCTTAACTGTTCCAACCACATCCCATCTCCGTCACCAGGTCAAAGTCATGCTTCGCACATGCCAGGCACAAATACTTGCCAAATCTCAAGTTAAAAAAAAATCTAGCTTACAAAAGCCAAGAATCTACATTTAAAAATTTACTTTAGGGGGCTGGCAACTGGCACGATGGTTAAGGAAGCTGGATTCCTACATGGCTAACCGCAGTCCAAATCCCAGTCCTGGCGGGCTTGCTGTCTCTCTCTGCCTTCTCTCTCTCTCTGCTTTCTCTCCCCCTGTCAAATTAAAATAGTTAAGTAAATAAAGTTAAATAAAATAATTCTTTTTAAAAAAATCTACTTTAGGGAACCAGCAGTTAGCATAATGGCTATGTCGCTGGACTCCCACGTAGTCGACCGCGGTTTGCGTCCTGGACCCGGTGGCTTAAAACTCATGCCAGGTGCGTGTGCGTGTGTACCCAAGATCCCGAGAGGAGAATGGAGGAGAAGGGATTGAGGCGTGACCATCCCCCCTGGGGGGTGATTTCTCGCTTTCTGTCTCTATGTCTCTCTCTGTCTGTCTGGTGAGCGCACGTGCCCTACAGCGAAAACCTCTCCAAAAAAAAAAAAAAATCTACTTTAAAAACTAGACTGGCTTTCTGGCAGATGACTAACAGCTTCCAAATACAATATATGACTGGAAAATCAACCAAGCACTGTCTTATGGTTGTGTGTGTACGCACGTATGTGTGCACACAAACATCTGTAAGGATGCTGCTGACTTACATGGGACATCCCATCAGGATTAGGGCACGCACACACATATACCTGGTGTGTTTCCAAGCCGCAGAGACTGGACATGTGAGACCCAACTCCCTATGCACTGTGCTATGGCGCTGGCTCCCTACAGTATTTTTTATAATCTGCTTTAAATGACTTTTTGATTAATGAACAAACCATTTGGTCCCATCATGTTGGCTAAGGAGGTAACTGTAATACTTAGGTTCTAGCAACACAGTATTCACAAAAAGAATACAACTACAGCTGTAAGAAGTCAGCTCTTGAGCAGATGTAATGTAATCAGAGAAAGGACAAATTTTGAATAAATAAACTTTTCTGCTAATTCTGCCAGATCATGTAAATACCCAAGAAAAATTCACATTAATATTTAGAAATAATCTTTTAAAAATCATTATCCAATCTTTCTAAATTGCATAGAAAATCAATTCTATCCATCTTTTCATGCTATTAGTCCTTAAAGAAATGAAAATTAAAAACCTTAATGTGATGCTACTATACACACTTAGAATACTTTTTTAAAGAATTATTTTATCTAACTTTATTTTATTTATTTATTATTATTTATTCATTTATTTATTTAATTTGATCAGAAAGGGAAAGAGAGATAGAGAGGGAAAGTGAGAAAACAAGCCTCCAGGTCTGAGACTCAAACTGTGGTTGGTCATGTGGGAAATTTAGCGCCTTTAACCACCATGCCACCTGCCGGCCCCACATACTTAGAATGGTTTAATTTGAAAACAGTGAGAAAACCAAATGTTTGTAAGAATGTGCAGAAATGAAATTTTTTCTCTTTTTTTGGAGAGGTTTTTGCTATAGGGCACGTGTGCTTGCCAGAAAGACAGAGAGCGATAGAGAGACAGAAAGCGAGAAATCACCCCCTAGGGGGGATGGTCACGCTGCAATCCCTTCTCCTCCATTCTCTTCTCGGGATCTTGGGCATGTACACACACGTGACCGGCATAAGTTTAAGCCACCGGGTCCAGGACTCAAACCTGCGGTCAACTACATGCGAATCCAATGACCTAGCCATTATGCCAACTGCTGGTCCCAGAAACAGACATTTGTATACCCCACTGACAGAAATGTAAGATACAATCAGTACTTGGATAGGGGGAGGGTCTCCGAAAAGTTCATGAAAAATACATATTATAAAAAAACTATGCATGAATTTCAAAAACCTTTGCACCAAAATAAACTCATACTTTAATTTCATGAACTTTCTATAGTCCCCTCATATACAAAAGTTCATAACCATTTAATTCCTAATTACTAGAAAATGAAACGACCCAAACATTTATCAACTGGAAAATGAGTAAACAAATGGATATATAGAATACCACTGAGTAATAAAAACTAACAAACTCTTACTACCTGGAACAATATAAATGTAGCTGAATCTCAAGCGCATATGCTGGGGACAGCAGGTGATGTAGTGGTCGTGGTGCCAAAATTCCACACGGCCAACAGTGGTTTGAGCCCCAGACTCGGCAGCTTAAAACTCACATTGGGCATGTGTGTGCGCATGCGTGCCTAAAATCCTGAAAGGAGAATGGGGGAGAAGAATTATGGTGTGGCCATCCCCCCAAGGCATGATTTCTTACTTTCTCTCTGTCTCTGTGTCTCCGGCAAGCACCCTATAGTAAAAATCTTTCTTTAAAAAAATAATAAACAATAAAAAGCATATGCTGAATGAAAGAAGCCAAACACGAGAGACTACATATCATCTGATCTAATTTATATGAAATTTATATGAAATAGGAAATGACTGCAGAAAGGGGCATGAGAGGTCATTTGGGTGATAGAAAAATGTTCTATATCACAACTGTGTTATTACATAACTACGTATTTTCAGAACTAATCAAGTTGGACACTTAAAATTGATGGACTTTATACCATATATGCTGCTAAAATAAACACCATCAAAGAAAATATCTTATGAAAATAGTTCTTACTTCACTCTCTTTCCATAAAAGTTTTCTAATACAATATAATCTTACTTATACTTTTTGTTTTTAACATAAAAGCCTGTAATTACAGCATCACTAGTAATAAATTTCTTAATGTTCTCTGGTAAAGAATGAACGGATTAACACAGGTTATACAGTTGCACTGTGAGTATTGCTAAATATGTCGTGTAATTAATAATCAAATGCCCTTTTTATTTCAGAGATTATTATATACTTAAATACATGCTAATTATCTTATTTAAGTCTTTAAAATTTTAATTACCATCATTATTCAGACAAGTTTAACTTAAGGTGATTCACTATCCATTATTTGTTTGTTTGTTTATAATATCACATTTAGGTAGGAAAGATTTTTTTTTTTCTATTTTTTTTCTTTTTTTTTTTGGAGAGGTTTTTGCTATTGGACGCATGCGCTCGCCAGACAGACAGAGAGAGACAGAGACAGAAAGCGAAAAATCATCCCCCAGGGGGGATGGCCACGCCGCAATCCCTTCTCCTCCATTTTCCTCTCAGGATCTTGGGCACGCACGTACAAGCGCCCAGCGTGAGTTTAAGCCACCGGGTCTGGGACACGAACCACGGTCGACTACATGGGAATCCAGCAACCCAGCCATTACACTAACTGTTGGTCCCGTAGGCAGGAGAGATTTAAAGGTACTACATTCAATATTTAGATTCCCAGATAAAGAATCAGCCAATAAAATAAATTTAACCATGCCAGAGCAGACACAGAAGGAGAGTAACAACTATCGTAAAAGCATTAGGAAATGCACACGTAAAGCTGAAAGGCAGCTAGACGGCGACCTATGGAGTAGCGCTGGTGCACGGCCATGTTCCGTTTGGCTTGCATAATATGTTAAAAATCAAAATATTTCTCATCAAGATTTCCAGTTTCTCTTGAAAAAATCAGAAGCTCTGGCAGGAATATGCCCACAGTCCTAAATAAAATTCGTCAGCTAAAGCTAGGATGAGCTTTTTAAGATAGGGCAGGTACTCCAGTTTGCCCAGGCTCCGTAACACTTAGGTTAGTCCCTGTCCCTGCCTGCCTGGCTACGTGCGCCTGCGTTTTCGACCCCTAGCAGGGTTATTTCTTCTGTGTACCTCAACTAACCATAGCTGAGAGTTATATGGAAGGAGTTTCTCCTAGATTTGTTATGCCTATTTCTTGTATATAGGCAGGCCCCAAAATCTTTATTTATAGTAAATTATAATAATGCATGCTTTACTGTGAAAGCGAAATGTATACTGAATGCTGACGACGTATACAGTATGTGTGGAAATCATAACCAAAGCATTTACATAAAAGGATAGATAAATCCAGCCTATAGCTTTATTCCCCATCTTTGTTAATATAAAAAAGCCATTTCCATGTGCCGGAAAAAAAGAAAAAGTCATCGTTGATGCTCTACATCGAAACTGCCCTTCTAATATAGAGAACACATGAAGTATACTTAAGGTTTTCAAGAAAGGGTAAAATAAACAAAATCCAGCAGTATGTCAGGAAACAAGAGGAACGCAACAGTCATTCACTACCAGCGAGAACTGTGACGTCCCACTTAAGACACAGGAAATGACCTTTCACCACAATTTTGAGGTACTTGTTGAGGTATCTCTTTTCCCGTTACCGAAGCAAAGTCTGGAGCGCCCTCCACACAAAGAAAGTAAGTGAGCAGAGGAAGAACCCTCGCGGACTCACCCGCTCTGCGGCGGCCTCCTCTCCCGGCAGGCAGGCAGCAGCAGCACACGCGATTTCCATCACCGCGGAGCTGGTAGGGGCGTCCGTCGTGGACGAAGACCTGGGTCGGCCTGACTGCATAACAGCTGCCATCTCCTGGCCAGATTTCCTGTTGATTTGGGGACTTCCCTTTGGGGCCTCTGGCTTACCCCGCCTACTATGCAAGCTCGTCCCTCTCTTCATCTTGGGTGGCACACGTATCTGCTGCAGGACACGATTCAAAGCTGTGGGGTGGGTGGGGACACCATCAATCTCAGCACACGCGTTCTGGCTTTCCAGATCCATTTCAGGTTCTGGATCTGTCTGAATTTGCTGCACATCGTGTGGAGACACTGATGACCTCCTGCGCTGGTGCTGGAAGAGATGCTTCAAGCCTTGGCCAATCACATTAATGTTCTCCAAAGCATTGTGGGTCATTTTAGATAACTTTTGTTCTGATTCTGTCTGCTTCCTGGCCTCTGCATCTTGGGATCTGCCTCCAGGATCGGGGTCCTCATATAACTGTTCACTGCCTGAAGGCTCCATCAGTAGGTTTAATATGCTTACTTGCAAACTCAAAATTTTTAAACACACCAAGACTGTCAAATTAGGTAGGCATTTGCTTCAATAGTGACTACACATGCAGCAGTGAGACGAAGGCTTCATGCCTATCTAATGTTAAAAAAAGAAAAGAAAAAAGAACAAAAAAAGAACTTTATATTATAAATCCATGCAGCAACACCAGTGTTAAAACAAAGAAAAACATGCCACTAGCCAAACAAATAAGCACTATCATTAAGCAATCTTTAATCAGAAGATTAAAAGACAGTTTTCCAGATAGTGGGTAACAACTATTTTCTAGAATAGGAGAAAAGCCCAGAACAAGTATACAGGAAATGAAAATAGCAGTATCTAAAACAAAAATAAATCCTACAAGTTTCAATATATGAAGAGCTGGATACTAGAGGAGTCATCTTGGAATGGACACCATCATAGCGACTGACAGAACAGCCATTGCTTGGAAAATCAAAAGAACAGACCATCCAGCATGTTCAGCCTAGCTGAGGGAAGGGTGTTCCTCTCATTCACAACCACAGTTAATTATCCACATGCTGAATCTCAGCAGAGTAAATCCAAAGAAAACCAGGAGACGTGGATATCCCCGTCTACTGTATGTAGATGTTAATGGAAAACAGGATTTCCCTGTTACCATTAATATTCATCAAGCTCAGGGGTAACTGGAGGTGACAGGCTTGCTCTTTTGAGAAGACAATGGAAACGAAAGTCTTGCAAGTTGAAGTCTCTGCTGAAGAGACCTTTCTGGCACTGTATGAGTGAACAGTCCAGAAAAAAGCAGTCTTCAGAGAGACTAGAACTTTGCTCAGTACCAGCTCTCAGGAAAGGAGATTCAAAGAAATTCCTTTCTCTGCAGTGTCATCCCTAACAGAAGTTTCCCATAGATCCACACAAACTCAAAAGCAAAGGAGTAACACAGTAACTGGGTATGGCAAGAGTAGAGAAAAAGGTCAAACGGCAACCTTACATCAGTATTAAATACAGGAAATTAAAAGGAAGCTGAAACTAAGAAAAGTAGAGTCAGCACAATTGCCATGGTTACTGAGATCACATGCAAAAAAGGAGGGAGGGTAGTAGTAGAAGAGCTTTTTTTCTTAATGTTTTTATTTTTGTATTGAGTTTGTGAAAACACATAAAACAAAACCGTATAAATGCACAGAAGCTGCTAGAAGAACAAAACATGATGTGGAGGGGTCTTTTCCCTTGACTCTTTTTGTTTGCAGGATTTTAAAACCCCCTACACTCCTACCAGGCCTTGGAAGCACGTAAGCTACAGTGAAGCACTGCAAGGACAGCGGTGCTCATCACTGGGGGAGTGTGGACTCACTGCTACCCGGTGAAAACCTGGACTCATCCATGAACTGATGTGAAGATTCGCTGTGAGCTCAAGGCTACCAGAGTTCACAGCAGCAGGAACGCCAAGCACGAGGGTTTTCCCCATGCCTCCTCTGCCCTCCGCCCCACATTACATGGACACTATCACGTGGCCCCACTGCCCGTGTCCTTCCGTGCAGTTTCCCACGTCCTGACTGCTTCACGGCTCAGGAGCATAAGCAGGGGACGCTGTTAGAGACATTGGTCTCTCACCACTATGCTCCTACTTTCTAAATGCCACAAAATGCTTTTTTACGAAAATTAAGCAAACGAGTAGCAACTATGATAATGGAAAGCTCATTGCCTTTCGCCCAAATTCTTTGGGGCCCTACTGAAATCTTGCCACCCCACGGCGGCCTCTCACCCCTTTCCTGACTGTGCACTGCTTTTGTTTGTCTTTCTCTTTAGGACAGCCGAGAAACAAACGCTTAGCCTTTAGTAGACTAGTGACTATCTCAGCCTTTAGTGGTAGGCTTCTGGGGCTTCTTGTGGGCGAAAACTGTGCCAACAGTGTAGAGATTTAGTTATCCTCACCTTGCCTTGTGAGTTTGTCTGGCAGACTGACAGTTATTGAATTATTTCTAATCTGCATCCCACCGAGCTTCTCAGAGAACAGGACCAAGCTAATCCAGTAAAGGTATACATCGACTAATCCTGTCTTACACTGGGCTATTTAGACTCTGAGAAGATGGGAGGATGAGAAAGCTCTAGTCTGACCGTGAGGAACTATTCTACTTTTCTTCCTATCTACGCTGCATTAGCTAAATGAGACAACTCATTTTTTGTGACAAGTAAAATTTATAAAATAAATTTACTTCATGAGATTAAAAGATATGATGCATAAAGGAATGGTGTCAAGGTTAGTTAAGAAACCAAATGACCTACTTGTCTCATATTCAAAGGTATTAGGAATTTATTACTCAGCAAATCTATTTCTTTGGGCGGTGTCGTAAACTAATCAAGTAGCCATCTGTTTGCCTATTTAAAAAATGGGGAATGTGGTACATTTTCAATGTCAGTAACTCAGAGATCTCACTAGCATTTGCATTTATTTTCAAATAATTTGAAATGATGACTACAAGGAACTGCTAGTATTCAATAGGGAAACCTAAAAATAGGGTGTCAATTGCCAAGCCAAGGCTCTCTCCACAGCTGTAAAATCAAGTCATGTCTTCCAGGGTATCTGCAGGCTAGACTTAAATTAGGCACACTAACTAGCGTGGGCTCACCTAGCATGGAACCCTAAAGAAACTTAAATTGAATTTTAAACATCAAGGTGTAAGATAAGAATTTTGAAAAACAACCTATTATGTTGACTATAAATGTAATCTGGTACTTACCTGTAGCTATTATCTGCATTTTTGCTGTGATAAAGGCACCAACAAAAAAACATGGTCAAAGTTTCTGTTTTGTTCTGTTTTGTTTTGCTTTGCTTCTTAAGTTTAATATTTCTTCCATAAGAAAGAGAAACAGAGACAGACAGACAGACAGGCCTTCAGGGCACGATCCACTCCCAGCCGCCGCCAGCTTGGATTATAGGCACATGCGCATCAGCATGTAGCGGGAGACCTGAGAACAAGAACCCAGAGTCTGCCTGGGTAGGTCCAGCATTGCACAGGACCGCTTTATCACTGTGCCACCGGCTGGCCCTTGTCAACGTTTTAGAAAGTTGCTCAAATTTTCTGCAGGCCAACAGAACACTTTTAAGACCATCTTTCAAAATATGCTAAGTATTAGAGAAGGTTAAATGCTGTGGCAAAAATACTAAGAATATAATGTTAGAATAATTCTATAAAATTGCTAATAAAAGTGCAAGTACTAAAAAAAAATTGAACCTTGGTTTTTTAATACTCCTTTATTTTGATTTCTTTTTTTTTTTGCTAGAAGGTACATACACTCGCCAGAGAGAAAGGAAAGTAAGAAAGCACCCCTATGAGGAAGTCACGCTTCTCCGTGTTCCTTTTCTCCCTCCTTTCGAGATTTTGAGCATGCACACACATGCGCCTGGCATGTTGTCAGCCCATCAAGTCTGGGATTTGAACTGTGCAGTTGGCCATGGGGGATCCAGCTGCATTCACCATGCCACCGGCTGACCCCCTATTTTTTCTAAACAAAAATGAGTAATAACTGTTGCTCAGTTTATAAAATTCCCCAATAGACTCTATTTAGATGCCTAGTTTAACATGTCCCACTGCAAAGCCAATCATGCTTTGAAATGATGACTACAAGGAAATGCTAGTATTCCATAGGGAAATGTTGGCTTATCTTTTATTTACTCACCTTCTCTGAAAGTAAAATTCTTACAAGTAAAGCAAAAATAGAGAAGAAAAAAGGGAGCAAAAGATCTTGAGAGAAAGAGGAAAAAGGAAAGGTGTGAAAGGTAGAGAAGAGGAAGAAAAGACAGCCACCAACAGACAGGCATTGTGGATAATTTTGTTAGATACTCAGAATTCTCAACCATTACATTTTCTACCACAATTCTGCTAAACACATAATAATTCATTCATAGAAAGAAACCAAGTTGTTTGGGGCTGGCAGGTGGTGTGGTGGTTAAGGGTGTTTTCTCTCTCTCTCTCTATTTCAAACTAAAAAATAAAGTTAAATAAAATAATTCTTTTTTTTAAAAAAAGCAAGTTGTTAAAAAAAAAAAGCAAGTTGTTCAAAATTAATACTAGAAATGAAGGGCTGGCTCTGTGGTACAGTGGTAATGTACTTATTCAAGAAAAACTGGATCTTACATGGCAACTGAGGTTCAAAACCCTGAGCCCAGTCAGCCTGAAATACATGGTCAAGCTCATACACGAGTGCCCAAGATCCCATGAGCTGAGGACTGGAAGAAGGGGACCACGGCATAACTAGACCCTACAGAGAATGCTCCTCCCCCCCCACTTCATGTGTGAGTGCACACACTGTATTGTGAATTAAAAGAAAAAATTGTTAAAAAAAAAATATTGGACCTAACCCCTTAGCTTAGTGACTAAGGGAGGTGGATCTCAAATCCTCAATCCAGTGACTTGAGAAACATGCTGGGCTGGGACCAGCAGTTAGTGTAATGGCTATGTTGCTAGACTCCCATGTAATTGACCATGGTTCAAGTCCCGGACCTGGTGGCTTAAACTCACGCTGGTGGATGTGCGTGTGTGCCCAAGATCCAGAGAGAATGAAGGAGAAGGGATTGCGGTGTGGCCATCCTCCCCGGGGGGTGATTTCTCGCTTTCTGTCTCTCTGTCTCTCTCTGTCTTTCTGGCGAGCGCACATGCCCTATAGCAAAAACCTCTAAAAAAAAAAAAAGAAAAACATGCTGGGCAAGGGTGTGTGTGTACTCAAAATCCCGACAAGATGGAGAAATGGAGAAAGGACTGCAGCGTGACCATATATATCCTGTTGGGGTGCTTTCTCTCTCTTTCTCTGTCTCTGTCTCTCCCCATCTCTCTCTGGCTATTAAACAAAATGTTAAATTATATACCAATTATCTTTGTCATTTTTTCCTTTCAGTTTTTCTTTCCAAGTTTTTGATTTTGTGAAAGGTGTGGGGACCAAAGCTTTTGGTTTGGCCATTAACCAAGGTGATTGCACTGACCATATATACGTGGGGTACTTACCTTCATCACTCTTCCTCAAGCACTTCCAGGGTATACAGGAATCCTTTTAGGAAAAGCTGAAAAGTAAACATCAAGAATCATAAAGTGAGAACCTTAGAGGAGTAAATTTAATTATCGCAGACATATACACACACAGGATGAAAGGATGGATGGATGGATGGATAGATTGATAGAAAACTAACTAACTCTGAAAGCCTATGCAACAAAATGTTAAGCAGTCAGGCCAGCCAGTGTCATGGCAGCTAGATCTCACACAGCTAACTGTGGAGTCTGAGTCCTGGACCCAGCGGTTTAAAAATCACATGCTGGGCGTACATGAGCGTATGCCCAAAATCCCAAGAGGAGAATGGAGGAGAGGGACTGCAGCATCGCCACATCCTCTGGGAGATACCTGTTCATTTACTTTCTCTTTCTCTCTCTCTGCTGTGAGTGCACAGAACCTACAGAAAAATTTTTAAACAAATGTAAACAGTTCTCACTTCTCAATGGTAGGATTTTTTTCCTAGTACTTTTCATTATTTTTTTAACTTTTCAAAAATATAATCAAGAAAAAATAAAGAAAAAGATATTTTAGAAATCCAGTTTGTCCTCCAGCTTCTTATTTCAACAACAATAAGATGTCATGGATGCTTCATTTAGCTAAAAGAAGACCTTTGTTGCCTTTAGCAAATCTCGCAGGCTCCCCAGACTGTGTGAAACCTACTTCCTTGAATCCAGTCTCGGTAAGATGAACCTTATTCCTTTGGCTCCATAAGAGCTCAGTTTGTCCTATTATTATTTTTATTTTTATATTTTTTATATATTTCTATACCTTTCCCCACCTGCCCCAAGATTTTGTAACTATTCATTTCATCTTTCACACCTCATTTAAGCCACAGTAAAATGAGAATTTTCTTTCTTCCTCGTGAGTGAGAGAGCCAGAGATATAATACCCCCAATAGGGCCTTTATTTCTTTCTTCTTTTATTTTAAATATTTTTATAAAGAATTATTTATTGGGGCTGGCAGGTGGTTGGGGTGCTGGACTCCCATATGGGTAACTGTGGTTCGAGCCCCAGACCTGGCAGCTTGCTTTCTCACTTTCCCTCTTCCTCTCTCTGGTCAAATTTAAAAAAAAAAAAACCGCCGGCGCGGCGGGCCTCTGCCCCGCGTCCCCCTGCCTCTCCGGGGCTGGCGTGTGGCCTCTGAGCCTGCGCGTGGCCACCGGGCCAGCGCATGGCCTTGGGCCTGTGCGTGGCCACCAGGCCTGCACCTGCACGTGGGTGCTTGGCCACCAGGCCTGCACCTGCACGTGGTCGCCGGGCCTGAGCGTGGCCGCCGGGCCTGAGCGTGGCCGCCGGGCCTGCGTGTGCCCACCTCACCCCGGCCTACGT